GGGTGGAACCCTTGCCCCTCCCCCAGCCCTTTACCAGCCATTAGGAAGCTGCTGAGAGGCTGGAGGAGGGACAGGGGGTGAGAATGAAAGTAAACCGTGTTTACCTTAGTTTCCCATCGCAGCACCACAGGCCACAGAAAAGTGCTTTCACACTTACGAGTGATACAAGTTTTGCTGTGAACAGTTTGAGGTGCAGTTTCCCAGAACCCCCTGTACCTATCTCCTTGAAACTTGGCAGGCTTCATGGCCTCAGAAGGGGCTACCATCCCTGCAAGTTCCATCCAAATCAGGCAAGAAATGACAAAGTTATAGGCAGTTTCATGCTTCCCCATAATAGACTATGGGCAAAATGTCAAAACATTGTTGAACAGTGAAACAGTTTCGACGAAACGAAACAGAACAGAACAGTGCTTTCAAAATTAAATGAAACTCGAAACAAAACTCGAAATGAAACACTGTCCCGTCGAAACAGAAGTCAAATGAAACAGTGTTGTTTCACACATCCCTAACATTGGGCAGCAGAATAATGCTTTCACAGCTACGTTTTCCGCTTCTGTATACTGGTTACATATCTCAATCTACTGAATCTAAATTTCCAGGTTTACCTTCTATGTTATCACTTTAAGAATTTCACATAAACACTTTTCCCTAGTCAAGACTTGATGATCAAGAAAAATGAGAAGGCTAATATGAATTTACAGATTTCTCTCTGCTAGCAATAATGCCATTGACACAATCACAATCAAAATGACAGCTACACAGGAACATGTGATGGCCATCAGTTATCAGTTTCAGAGACATTAAGAGCAAATCATCAATTCCAAGCTGGTGTCTGCTTAAAGGGAGAACTCTGTCAATTTAAAATATTAGAGGTTTCAAACTAATCAAAGTAATGATGCTGTCCATGAGAGGTAAAGGCACAAACAGTTAAAGGATATAACAACAAAGCCAGAGAAGTTAATGGGAAATAAATACATCTATAATGATTTTGGCTATTTCAACTCAAGACAAATGGAAGTCTGATATTGACATTCAGCCTGAACAAGATTTTGCTGATGTCACATAATTTAAAATGAAACAAGGAGGGTCAAATGACCCCCCCCCAGCTAATTTAACACACCACAGTAGTTTACAGATCTAAAAACGAAGCAAAACAAAAACAGTCCCCCCCGCCCCACCCCCCCCAAACACATTTTAGCTGGTTTTCTAAATAAAATGCTGTCAATTTGCATTTGATGCAAGAAACAAACCAATTTTGAACCTGAATGTAAATGGATTTTCTAGGACTTGATTTTTAATGGCTGTGCTATCATTTGTGTTTTTTCCACCTCCATTTACTGTAAAGATCGCAGTCCTGTGGATTATGATAACATGTGTCCTCATTATGGATTATACACTACGTTATTAAAGGCCCCCAAAATCCATACATCTGCTTGTGTGACAGTCAATGCAAAGAACACTGTCCTGCAGAGGCCAGTAAAAAGACTGCCATTTTATTAACTGGCTCACCTTGCAGTAATAGTTAAGCCCTGCCCCAAAGCAGACTACCATGATTGTACCTCTTGTGAATTATATTTTTACAGAAATCAAAACAGAATTCACTGCCTTGTCTCACCCTAGCCATATGACTGGTGCTCAGCTTCAGAGCAGTGTGCCACGATGACATTTGGACAGGCACTACCTTTTCCAGATGATTCCGCTGGTTCTCTTTCTTCATTGTTTGTAAGGTTTTTAGTCCATACCACATTAAAATCCAACAAAGGTACTAATACTTCAGTAAAAGCTAATTACAACAGTCCACTTCAAGGGTAGGCAACGTTTTTAGCCAGAGTGCTGAAAAAACCCGTAATGTTTACATTTGGAAGGTGCTGGAGTGCCAGCATGCAAGAAAAACAAGACTGGGGCAGGGGGTACATGGCAGAACAAACTGCATATTAATATAGTTAATAATCATACTTTTTTACAGTAAATCCCAGGTTTTCTAAAGATTCTAAAACTGGTGACAATAAATAAAACTTCATATACTACTTTGTTCTTGTGTATTCTTAAGCATGTTGTGATGAGAGAGAAAAAAAGAGAGAGGGGGGTGCGAGGGAAAGAAAAAAGAGAAAAAAGGGGAGAGGAGAGAGAAAAAAAGGAGAAAAGAGAAAAATGAAAGAGACAGGTAAAGAAAGAAAAACAAGAGAGAAAAAGGGGAGAAGAGAGAAAAAAAAGGAGAGAAAAGGAGAGCTGGAGGAGAGAAGAGAGAAAAAAAGAAAGAGGGAAAGAAAAGAAAGGGAAAAAAGAAAGAGGGTGTGTCCTTTGCTGCTCATGTCTCCCACTGCTACCAGCTGCAGCTTGGGCCTGCTGGTAACATCCAGTGGAGGGAGACAGCAACACCCCAGCAGCAGCCACCAGGGCTGGGGCGCTCAGGCCTCGCCGATGATCCCAGAGCGGGGGAAGCCTGGGCCCAGGGCTTGGGTTTGGGCACGCAGATGCCGCCACCCCACCCACATGGAGGCAGCACCAGGGCGCCGAGCACTAGGGTGGCCATCATAGAGGACATTCCAGTTTTCTGATGCTGTGTCCTCTATTGATATGAAACCAAATGCCTTTATGTCCTCTATTTTTGTCTTGAAGAGAAAAATAGAGGAAGTAAAGGCATCAGGTTTCGTATCAATAGAGGACAGAGGACAAACAGACTGTTCTCTATGATGGCCACCCTACGGAGCACCCAGGCTGGGTGCTCAGCACAGGGTCTGGGCTGCACGGGGAGAGATGCCGTGGACAGGCTGACCCCTTGGGAAGGCAGCACCTGGAGGGGAGCAGGAGCCGAGTGAGAAGCAGGGGCTACCCTGGGGCCCTGCAGACTTGGGCCATGGCAGGCAGGCAGGGGTGCCCAGTGACACCTGAGGTGGGGCCCAGCCCAGCACAGCCTGTGCAGCTCCGCAGGGTTGGGCTGCAGCTGCCCTGCCTGCCAGGGGACATGCCTGACCAGGTCAGGATGCTGGGCTCGGTGGTGGGGGGCCTGGCTCTGGACTCAACTTCCTTGTGCTCTGGGCACAGTGAGAGCAGGGCAGAGCTGCCCCCGGTGCAAGGGCCTGGCCATGGGAGCTCCCTGGGCCTTGGGAACAGCTACCACAGATGGCACTTGGGGCAAAGCCAACCAGGAGCCTGCAGTGCAGCGGCACTCCACAGTACATGCCCCAGCCCTGGCCCCTGGAGGGTAGCTGCCGGTCAACCAGGCCAGGGCTTGGTCAGGCAACTGTGGTGGCTATTCCTGGGACCCGGCAGGCTCCCACAGCCAGGCCCTTGCAGCAGGGGAAGCTTTGCCCTGCTTGCACTGTGCCCTGTGCAAAGGGAGGCCGAGCCTGGAGCCAGGAGCCCCCCTGAGCTGGATGTCCTGCCCTGGCCAGGTGGTGCCTCTCACAGGCAGGGCAGCTCTGGCCCATCCCTACAAAGCTGCACAGACCTTGGGTGCTCCTGCCCACCCACCAGCTGCGGCCCAAGCCATGGGGCCCCAGGGCAGCCCCACTTCCCACCCAGCGCCAACCTTCCCAAGGGGTCAGCTGGGCCAGCCTGCCCACAGCACCTTACCCAGCGCCTCTTT